GATCCACACTCCCACCCAACTTAGCATTATTTGGAAATTCACTGAGGGTACACTCAATACCCACAAAGAGATCATCAGTGAAGATGTTAGACAGGACTGGCCCCAACTCTGAGCCTTGGGGGGCACCACTAGTGACAGCCCCAGTTGGATTTGGTTCCATTCCCTGCTACTTTCTTGGCCCTCAGCCCTCACTCATGAGAGAGTCCACCTGTTATATAATTTATCTTACACCCAACCAAACCCAGTGTTGCTCTTTCTATGGAGGCAGAAAAATGTATCTCACTTTGCAGTCCCAGTAAAAGTCAATGCAGGATTTTTCATGAGATAAAGACATTGTTAGTCAAGTCCTCCATTAACACATTGAAAGGATCGGGAAAATCCCTTTAAATTGGGAATGACACTGTGCATTGAAGTCAGATGCATTTTAGCAGCTGTAAATGACAGTAAGGAATTTCCATTGTATTCCATGACAGCAGCAGATGCACCACTTAGCAGATGCCAGAGCAGTTGTTAGGATAAAAGAAATAACTGAGTGTTTTCTAGCACAGGACTAGGCACTTGACAAATTGGTGGCATTAGATAGTGACTTCAAAGCTTCTCAGAAGGAACTGTTTCTGAGTTCAGATAAGAAGACAGGATTGCAAAACTGAAAGAAGGGGTGCATATTTTGGTCTGCTGCTTGTGGTATGGACAGTTAAGCTTTTTTCTGGTGGCAGTAGCATAATTCCCTGGGTCACAGCTTCATCTCAGAATGGTGTGAAACCCAAACAATAAATGCTTTGTGGTTTTGTACTTCTATCACATTTCCTTCTGTTTCACCAGATGAGAATAAGCCTATCTGGATGCATGCAGAAGAGAGGGAAGAATGCAAAGTAAGACCATTGTCCTGAATTTTTGTTTGGAGCTTTGACTTTTGTAGGTTTCAAGTCAGTTATTTTCTTCTTCTATGATACTTTTGTTCTAGGGAAAGCAGAAAGATGGCACATCCTTTGGAGAATATGGTGGCTGGTACAAAGCTTGCAAAGTTGACAGGTAGGTCATTCCTTCACAGCTCACACAACATGACAAGGCCCTGTGGGCCAGATCAAAGCATCTTGGAAAATGAAATCGAAGCGGCTGCTTGCTCAGGACTGTAAAAACTAGAGTATTAACAATTCAGGGCCCAGGACTGAGTTTCAGGAACACAGTGGCAGTTTTCAAGTCCTGGGGTTGCTCTTCATCTGGACTGGTTAGATCTAGTAAGTGACACCCAAATGCATCCCTTGTGTTCTTGGAAGTCCTTCATGTGGGAGCAGAGGCACCTTCTCTTCCTTTCCTACCCCTGGTTGGTGTCCATGCCCTCCCTGCCCCGGCAGGACCTCTGGAGAGGGCCCAAAGCAAGACTGTGCAAGTAACTGAGCCTTTAGTTCCCTACCTGGCACAAGAAAACAAAGTTAAAGTGCCACAGTTAACCATTAGTTATGTTTCTGAAGCTTGAAGGATATTGTGTGCGAATGAAAATTCCACTTTGAAGTGGAACAAGAGAAGCAAGGACTTCACCTTGGATTATACTGGGTGAACTAATTGTTGTTTGCTTTCATTTTGTTCCATTCCTGCATCTTTTTTAATGCACAGGTGATACAGTGGAAGTAAAAACCTGCAGCTAGTGCTGATAATCAGTGAAGATTTTTTGTTTCTCGAGTGTTCGGATTTTGTGTTCAACAAGCACCAGAACCTTTGTCCTGCTG